AGGTGCTGGCTCACCGCGGGAATGTGAGGTATACGGGGGTTTCCATTGCTGCTAACAGCATGTCTTTCCTGCGTTCATTTGATTTTTGCCACATTCTGATCACATGAATACAAATGCATAAGTATAATGCTTAAATTTGGAGAACAAGCGATTACTATTTGAGTTAAATAAAAAAAAAATAATTCAAATCTAAATGGAAAAATCCTTTTTTTCCTGAACATGGCACAATTCTCACAGATAGTTAACAAATCATAAACATTTTCATGCAAATTAAAAACTGAACTTTGCATGTTCTTTAGTTTATCATGCAAAATGTAATGCAAGCTCAAAAACCTTAGAATAAAAGTAAAAACTTTAAGCTGTTGGCTTAAAGATATGTTTCTACCCGATTAAACCACTTTTGTTCATTTAACTCTATGTATTCAGTCACATCGAACGCATTTGGCCTGTTAATTTAGATGTTATCACATGCAACGCATATGTAAGGTTACCAAACCAAACATTTTTACAAAGTCATTTGTTCTCTTTTTAATTCAGCATCAGCTGCTCGTCTTTTGAGTCGGTGTTCAGCTCTCGAGTGGACTGTATAGTGTGCATTCATGACTTCTATTGTCTGGCAAAGTTGCTTGGATAGTTACTGTCACCAGAGACACATGAATGACAATGAGCGACGGGCCATTTCTAGACAGCTTAACTGAGACCACATGAATTACACTTGAGAGTTTTCTCTCATATTCATACTGAAACCCGATATTTGAAACAAGCGTGCTTGCGCTAGTGGAGAATACTGCGCCTAAAAACAAATTCACTTTTTTTCGGAATCATATTGTAAAGATTCAGTCGATATGCAATAATTGCGTCTTGAATTAAATTGCATTAATACTTTTATTATTATTGCCATTACTGTCTATTATTATTTTATTATACTTAGCTACTTATTCCGGCTGAACTAATTTGCAACAATACATATTATTATACATATATATTTTAGCAAATTCTTATGAAAATACTATACCAAGTAAGAAAAATATTTTTCACGACTATTATTTAAACGAACGCATTTTGGTCAGCACGTACAGTTCTGTTTATTTGCGCAAGATCAAATTTAAAATATTTAATTACAAAAAAAGAAAATGGCTTATAGGTATATTTCTTAGGCTACAATAAGAATGAAACATTGTAGTACCTAGTTAACTTCGCAGAACTCACTTTGCATATTATTTGGGAAAAGAACAATGCCGAATTTCCATATTTTAAATTATAAACAGACAACGAATGTGTTTCATTCTCCAATAAAATCTGCCTCTCAACCAGATGTCTGCACATGAAAACGCCTGGTTTCTTCTTCTTACCTCGCAGTCATCTTCATACTTCACGTTATCTGCTAGTTTCCACAGCATGTTGTCTTTGCCGCGCGTGATCTCAGACGTGTGTATCTGTGCTGGTGTTTGTTTGCGGTCTCGAATATAATCCAGAGAGTCCGGCGCGCGCCGCGCAGAAGTGAAGCATCAACTCAGTGTTGAAGGAGGAGAAACTCATGCAGCTCGCGACGCAAACTTCTTGCGCGAAACGAACTGGAGGGCTCCGGTCCAAACAGACGCACTGAACAGAAGCACTCGACTCCCTCTGATGGACAACAGAGCGGCTCAGGCTCGACTCTCTGACTCGTTTTGGACTCTCGCTACTATATTTGCATGAGTCAGCGGTGGGCGGTAACCTACTGCGAGCTGGCTACGTCAGAGCGAAGAACCTGCTGCTGATTGGCTACTGTCAGAACGACGGACCAATCGCGGAACTGCCCGTCTGTTCAGAGGAAAAATTGCGATGATTTGCCATTTACTGAAACAAACTCTACAAACAAAGAATGGTAAAATGTTTTTATTCAAATCAAATGTCATTTACGCGATTATAATTAGTCAGAATGATAGATAGATGGAACGTTAGAACGATAGATAGATAGATAGATAGATAGATAGATAGATATCTATAGATAGATAGATAGATAGATATCTATAGATAGATAGATATCTATAGATAGATAGATAGATAGATAGATAGATAGGTGTTAATTGGAGTGCAAAACCTGGACAAACTAAAAGATATTTGACATTTTTCCCTAAATGTTTATGCTGATTAGATACTTTGCAATGAAAACAGACGCAGTAAATTAGGGTGAAAAAAAGCAAAGTAATAATAATAATAATAATAAAATAAAGAAAGAAATAAAAACGTTTTCACTAATGATTTTAGACTTTACAGATCAACTGAATGTTTTATATAATTGTGTATTTTTTTTACGTTTGTGCTTAAAATTAAATTAAAATGGAATATATTAAAATACTACTACTACTACTACTAATAATAATAATAATGAATGCAAAGTAGGCTATTTTAAAGTGGAAAATGTTTGCATTAGAGATATGAACATTCGTAAACAAAAAGATAGCAAGAGAAAAAAAAGAGGAAAGAAAGACTTACTCCCGGTTTAGACTCGCCTGTGTGTTAATGCAGGAGAATGAAATGTATTTGTGGGTCAAAGCGCCTGCGGCTCGAGCTGGACTGTGACAAATGAAGCGCACGAGCGAGTTAAGATTCCTTTGTAATCTGAATGAAGTTACTGTCAGATACTTTCACACACGCAGACTCTACTGTAACCCCGAGGGAGAAACATCTGCTTATGTAACCTGCTGAAATCGCAAGCTAAACATCCACTCAGGCAATAATAAAATGCACGAATGCCAGTTGTCGTAAGACAATAATTATTATTTACCTATAGGCCTAACCTGAAGACACTGTATTCTCGTTTTGCGTCGTTTGTGCAAAACGGATTCAGAATGATTTAATAAGTGACTGATGAATCATCAGTGTGAGATAGCTATTAATTGTAAGCAGAGACTGTCATTCACCGTAGCGTTTTATTTCAGATCAAAACTCATCGTCTGAAATTAGTGAACGGAATCAGCAAATAAGCATATAGTAGGATGTAATAATTTATTGGATTTGTCTCAAAAATATTAAATAAGTTAGTAAAAAATCGTAATAATTAGACGGATTATTTGGTTTCGTTAAAAATAAATACAAAAATAACTGAGGCGCATTTCAAGTTAACAATCCGTGATCATCCAGGCCCAAGATGCGCTAACACGCGAAGGCCTACAAGGTATTGAAAAATACCATTTAAAATATAATACACATGCTGTTTCATTATTTATTTAATAACACATAGGCCAACAATAGTGTGTGTTATGTGTGTGTTTTTTATTAGTGTTACTGAAAACCGGAGATTGCTGTAACTCTCTTTGCTTTGAAGTCTGTAGCTCAAAGTTTTTCCCTCATACCTTTATATATTTTCCCATTTATCTGATACAAATGTAAGTAATTTTGAAATATACAACTTACTCTAAAACTGTGTAAATGAATGCCAAAAAAGCGCTGTTGTTACAACCTAAAAGTAGCCTAACAGAATGCAGGTTGTAACAAAAAAAATAAAAATAAATAAATAAAAATAAGAAAAGGGATTTTAAATTTTGTACATGAATTGTTTTATTAAACTGACTTCAGAATTATTGGTAAATGACCAATTTAACCCCGACCGCATTTAATTTTAAGCAATGCAATTAATAAAAACGCACGGAAATATATTATTATAAAAGATCAAACAGTTGCATAATACAGTAACAGGCTAACAATCAAAAATGTGTTTGCGTGTATGTTTGCTAGCTAAACAAAACGTGTAGCCAACACACAAACACTAGTACCCATCATCGTCTGCTCAAACATGACATTTTTAGCTTTTTTCCTTTTAGGTGGAAGTAGAATAAATCTAATTTAAGAAGAGAATCTGCTAAATCAGATGCACGGTTTGATGCACAAATCAAATAATAACCAAGGAGTTACATTTTGCTGTTTTTTTTTTTTTACTATTTATTTAGCCTGTAAATGCTATATGATTTTTACAGAGACGTATGACCTCACGTGGTGCTCACGTATGATTTCAGTAGCTCTTTTTAATTGGTTAATTTGCTGGGTGTTAAAATACTCCCAACAATTCTGTTCTCGTGCTGTAAATTTGACAGCGATAAAGCGCGTTTTTTCCTTCAAAAAGGCGTCTGCTAAATTCATTAAATCGAATAAAAATGCTAAGTCCTGCTGTTAAATGTTCAGACAGGTGTTAAGTGTCACACCCGAAGAAATAAAGGCACCGCAATTTGGCAATTATTTGTTATTGTTTTATTATTACTATTATTGTTAATAGCTGTTGTTGTTGTTATTACCCTGCTTCCTTTAGGCTGTACATTCTGCAAACGCAAGCAAAAGTTCAGGCACCAGTTTACACGAATTTAAACCTTTTGCTATACAAACGAATTTAACCAAATGTAGGTCTATCGGAAATGGACAAATGTCAAATGGAAACGTACCCGCCAGTCCAGCCTCTCCAGCAGCGACATCTGCTTCAGCTGTTCGGTTCCGCTGTGAAGCAGCGAATGCTCTCATCAGCCGCGCTCGCGCCGCTCATACACCTGGATGCGCAGGGCACGCAGCGCGCATGCGCAGACTCTCAGAACACCTGAACGGGGGCCGCAGCATTCCGATCGATGAGGGTGATTAGTCATCGCTCCAGCTCTGTGGAGCAGCACACTATTGCACAACGGCGCTTTAATTAAAGAAACGTCCACAGTAATTAAAAATCAAGACAAGTCAAGACGATCTAAAGAATTCACACAATTAGCCTACCTGATATATATTACATGAAAACCTTTAAAGAAAGTGTTGGAGATTTAATTTCGCCTGCAAGACATTCTTATATAATTTTAAAGTTTTTAAGTAAAATAATTACGCTTAACAAGGAACAGCTTCCTTAGCTGACATTGCATGTTCCACAGAATAAAATTCTGCTCCCGTGAGTAGCCTAATACAATTCATTTTTAAGTTTGACATTCCAAGCATGCTATTTTTCAAGCTTTCTCACGCACACAGGAATTAAGACACATACCTGAAAATGTAGAGTCTGGATTTTATTTATGCACCTGTCAGATGAACAAACCATTACATTATGGGGAACTGCAAAAAGCCAAAAAATAGACAACTACATCAGATCTCCTTCTGTTTGACTGCGGCAGCGCTTATTCTTAGACATGTACTGCCACCCTGTGGTCAAAAGCAGTATTGCAACAGCGCATGATTTCTCCAAGATCGGACCTTTATTGTGTTCACACATAATGCATGTTTAAAAGTACAATACATAACTACTGTAACTAGTAGGTTATTTCTGTGATACCGTAACAAGAAACGCTCAAGCGCTTCAAGGACACGTATTTATGCTCCTGAGTAGGAAAACAAAGGTATCTGCCTTTAAGTTTGTTTTTACTGCAATACATTTCATGTTTAAACCTAAATAAAGTGGTTTAAAACAAGATGCTGCTGCAAAGCACAATCCAGTCAAAAAATGTTAATGGAAAAGACATTTAACACTCAAGCCAACATGGGTTTACTGAAAATAAACAAAATTAAGATAATCTTATAAAGGTAAATAAAATGCAGTGGTGAAAAAGAGAAATCTGCTAAAAACAATCCACCAGTCAGAATGTTGCTCCTACAAAGCCTGACCACTAGAGAGCGAGCTTCACTAAGAAGAACACACTCAAAAGTGGTAAGGCGTGTGTGTGACCCAGTTGGACATCTGGTCTTTGGTACGTTTGGCAGAGCTGTGGGAGGTGAAGAGTGACTTGTAGGCCTCAGATTTGTCCTTCATGTCCTGGATCGATCTCTTACTGCCAGCGACGGGTCCCGCGGGGGCCTCTAACATCTTAGAGCACTCGCCGGATGTGGACGGTCCCGGAGCTGAGTGGGAAAAAGACAAGCACAGCTTGAGTGATTGAACCATCAGATGGGGAAGTCGTGGCCTAATGGTTAGAGAGTCGGACTCGTAACCCAAAAGTTGTGGGTTCGAGTCTCGTACCATCAGGGATTGTAGGTGGGGGGAGTGAATGTACAGCGCTCTCTCCCACCTTCAATACCACGACTGAGGTGCCCTTGAGCAAGGCACCGAACCCCCAACTGCTCCCCGGGCGCCGCAGCAAAAAATGGCTGCCCACTGCTCCAGGTGTGTGTTCACGGTATGTGTGTGTGTTCACTGCTGTGTGTGTGCACTTAGGATGGGATAAATGCAGAGCACTAATTCCGAGTATGGGTCACCATACTTGGCCACATGTCACTTCACTTTTTAAAGATGCATGACTTCTCCTGGGGTTAACTAATCTTTAACATCCATTCTTAAAGGAATAGTTCAACCAAAAATTAAAATTTGCTGAAAATTGATGAAAATGGTTTGTTTCTTTATTGGAACAAATTTGGAGAAATGTAGCATTGCATCACTTGCTCACCAGTTCAAACCATTACTTCCAGCTTTAATACTCCATCCATAATATTGCTTTTTCTGAATTTTGTATTTATTTTTTGCTGAAGAAGTTGTCTGGTCTGAATCTGCACAGATCAAGCACCGTTTACAAGCCAAAACATTCCAAAACCAATATCTTGATGGAAGGACAACAGAAGATGGACTTCTTCACTGGAGGAAGCATCATTATGGATTATGGACTCATATTTTCACCAGAAGCAAACACAAACATTCAGCTTTTGGTTTCTCAAGACATTAACTGATGGACTGGAGTGGTGTGGATTAGTTGTGTATTATTGTGATGTTTTTATCAGCTGTTTGGACTCTCATTCTGACGGCACCCATTCACTGCAGATCATCCTTTGGTGAGCAAGTGATGCAGTGCTACACTTCTCCAAATCTGTTTCCATGAACAAACAAACTCTTGGGAGGCCTGAGGGTGAGCATTATTCATAATTCTGCATGACTGTCCTCATTGCACAATTATATTCTTATTTTAAAGTCTTTCTAGATTAGTCTCTAAACCTACTGTGCACATACAGGCTGAATGTCCCTAAGTGACATGACCACTTCATTTGTATAGTAGGGATAAATCATTTGTTTGTTAATATCCCATGTGGCTTGCACAGATTCAATGAGGACACCACACTTTGAGAAAATGATGGCTAGTAAGATGTTTTGTGTTATTATAGGCTATTTTTCATGCTGATATTAGTATTGATATCGAGAGGGTCATTGAGGACTTATACTTTAATATTTGTATGATGTGCACTTAAATGCCTATTATTAAATGTAAATGTACTACCATTCAAAAGTTTAGGATGATTTTTTTCCCAGCAAGGATGCATTAAATTGATCAAAACAGACAGTAAAGACATTTATACTGTTACAATAAATTTCAAATAAATTCTGTTCTTCAAAGAATCCTGAAAAAAAAAATGATCACAGCTTCCACAAAAACATGAAGCAGCACAGCGGTTTTCAACATTGATGATAATCAGAAATGTTTCTTGAGCAGCAAATCAGCATATTAGAATGATTTCTGAAGGATCATGTGACACTGAAAATTCAGCTTTGATCACAGCAATCAATTACATTTTACAATATATACACATAGAAAAGTTATTTTAAATTGTAATGATGTTTCACAATATTCACGGTTTTACTATATTTTTGACCTTGGTCACAAGAGACTTCTTTTAAAAACATGTTTAAAAAATCTTACTGAGCCCAATTTTTTTAACAGTAGTATACATAATTATTTTAATATACATCATATACTCCAGCAAAAAGTCAATTAAATGAAATTAAATAAAAACCTTTCATTCACTGCTAACATTAAAGCCTGTGCTGGAGTTCTACAACATAACATGAGTTCACTTCCTCTGCTGCCATCTACTGTCAAGATGAATATAACGAATGCATACTAACATAAACTGCTTTCAGCATACTGCATAGTATGTATACTACCTACTACGCAAAAAACACTATGGTAACCAGTATGCAGTGATAACTGTTTCACATGACCTGACCATGTTGCATAATATCAGGAATTAATGCAGCAACATATTTCTTTTGAAGTTGAAATGCATCACATCTAGACTCCACATTTGTGAAACCAACCCTGATATGAATGTGCTTTCAAAAACATTTACACATATTTCCATTTCACATGTAAATCTAGCCCTTCTGTACTCTGGCATGCTGGGATACCTGAATCACTGCAGCTTCCACTGCTGCCTTCTCCATTCAGTGATGTAGATTTAGTCTCCGAGGTGTCACAGCTTCCTGCCATCACAAGAGAAAAAAAAACAATATTTAGTAGTTGTACTAGTTTAATAAAGTACTACAATTAGTTGTTCAACCATTATTGGGAAGTTCAAACCAGTGCTATTTTAGTATCACTGAGATATTACAGTTTTTATTAATATGTTAAATTAGTTTTTTTTTTCTTTTCTTTTTTTTCTTCAAGTTTTTAATGTCTATATAGTTTGTATAAATATTATATATTATTAATAATAATAAATAAATCAATAAATATTTGTGAAGTCCCACTGTGAAATGTTATACTCAAGCTAAATGTAAAACTATCATACACAGCATTTCAATTAGCAGCTCATATTAAATGTAAAAAAAAAATATATGTATTTGCCACAACGCATGACAGAAAACAACATACAACACATATTTTCATCCCTGAAACCACAGAATGATCTCATCTTAAATGAAATGACAAAAGCTTATTGGCAATCCGGATCATATCATGTAAAGTTTAACAGCTCATTAGTTAATGTACAATCAAATAGCAAACATGAAGCATGGCACATTTATGAAGTGCAGTAAATGAAGCCAGTGTGGTTTCCCCATTCCAGTAGAGCAAACAAAGATGTTTTAAATTTTGATATCTGGCTCTCTTTAGAGGAACATGTATAAAGGTGGTGTGCTACTTCAAATACACCAAAAATCCAGAATATGTCTTATTTTTCTTTAAATGTGACCCTGGACCACAAAACCAGTCATAATGGTAATTTTTTTTGTAATTGAGATTTATACATCTGAAAGCTAAATAAATAAGCTTTCCATTGATGTATGGTTTGTTAGGATAGGACAATATTTGGC